GTTGGTTGCTTGTTATAGATATTATTCCTAATATAGTTATAGTGGGCTCTTAAAAATTGTTGATAGAACACGAGATTGAACTTGCACCAAAATTTAGAATTTTTTCTGCTGAATTGTTCATTGACATTGTAAACTTTATAGTTATTAATGAATAGTTTGTACCGTCCAAGAACCACGTCATTTAGGTCTTTTTGCATTATATATTTGGCAAATATCTTAGGTGGTTTCCTGTTAAATTTTCTTTTTTGCTAAACCGAGTGTAGCAAACCCTTGTTGAAGATCGATATTTTTTATTTAAATTTTGTTAATTTATTTGAATTTCTGAGACTGTCAATTATACAATGATAATCACAAATGTCCAATCGTGTGTTGTTGAATATTTTTGTTGTACTTCACATGAAGAACCTGACACAAACATTATCAATCACGCGCGTAACATCGCTGAGCATATCGTTGCAATATTCCTATTAGAGCCTTCGATACTGCAAACTATCAGTATAATATTGGTAATATGAATTGGTAATATGACATAACTAAGAAATATAGTAATTCAAATATTTGGATGCTAAATGGGGTTGAAAATAACCAGAGATATATTAACATCACGAAGTGAACTGGTTAGTTGTTTGCCAGAATTTCAATTTGTTGTCATGCTTTTACTGGTTGTGATTTCAATCCAGCCTTCTTTAACAAAAAAAAGACCTTACAATTCTCTGAAAAAAATCGATCTTCAACAAATGTTTGCTACACTTAACAAAGAACCCAAATACAATATCTTTTTAATACTATTCAGCTTAATTTTTTTAAGTATGGTCGGAGAATCTCGTCTTTATCAAACATCTTCAGTTGGATTTTCAAATAATTTTTATTTTACATCTGATTTATTATTTTATAGAATCTGATTCAGCGGATGATGAGGAATCATCAAAAGCGAGATATGGCTCCGAGATTATAATAAATGAAGAAAGTATATATATATATATATATATATATATATAATATTGTTTAATTTTATTTTTATACAATATTTTGAAATTAGACTAAAATAAATAAAAAAATAGAATAAATATTACAATAATTGTTGTTATCGTTTGTATACTTTAATCTTTACGAATTTAGCGTAAAAAATCTTTTTTCCGCTCATCAACATTATTAAATGTCACATATAAACTAACAAATATTAATTTGTATTATCATTATGAAAGAATTGCTTATATCGGTATAAAACATGGAGATTTATGCATACTATCACGCCAAATGGTAGCTGAGTTTTTTAACTCTGCTGATGTTGATCCACCAGGTACACGTCTGCCGTGATAAATATAAGGTTTTGATACTATAAGGAATAATATATGTAAATGGCAGACATCGTAAAATACATTCAAAAAAATTTTTTTCTGCATTTTCAAAATCGTCTGCCACCATGTTAACCGCGCGATAATCGTCTGCCATTGGTATTTTACGATAGTAATAATATTATATTTTCAAATTTTCGAAACGGCAACCGTCGTAAAATGGTTCGGATATGGGCGAAAAAAAGGTACCTTTACCAGCTGCGCAGTAGCTGTGTCCGCCACTTTGGGCTTAGTCAGTCCCCATCTCATGTAGGATAGGTATAGAGGAATCGATGCACAAAATCTCAGGTGTCGTAAAATACATACTGTCATCCGCCCACGGGCTCTTGGTCTATTATACAAGGTCCGCCAAGTGAAAATACTTGAACTATACAGTATTTCTGAGAAAACGGAACAAGCCGAAACACCTTAGCGACATCGTTGATTGAGACACCTTGCTTTTTAGAGTTTTTAAATTGTTTTCACTCGTTATATTGCCCATTTTAATGTCAACTTAACGAAGAAAAATCTCACAGAATAACTAATTATTCGGACGTGAGATTTTATGTACAATGTTACTCATTATGTTTAAACAAAAATGTCATTAAAACGTCTTATATATTCTCATTATGATCTCGCAAATACATATCAGTGTTGAATAAGGAAGTAGGCAGATTGAACTGATAAGGCATGATTAATCTTCATTTGATTGTATACCATATTAATCAAATTTTAATAAACAATTATTACAGAAAAATGCAAGTTAATAAGCACAAGAGAAACGAGATCGCAATAAACATTCGAACATTTAGTTGTGTTGATACTTTTCTTCAGTTCATTTTGGTTTCTAGAATTTCGTTTCGGTCGGTTGTTTTATATAGAAATTAATGATCCACATAAAGATTCTTTTTACAATTTTGTACCTGGAGTAGGGCGAGGCACAAAGATACAATTTGAATCCAAACAAATTATATCACAACAAATAACACATATCAAACAAACAACTAGCTGACTATGTTCAGTAACACTCCCATGTAATTCATCATTGTAGAAATGTGTTTCCGTAAAAAATCTTAACTTTACTTGTTTTTGATATTTCGGAGGTGGATTTTGGTTTTAATATTTCGGAGACCTTTAAGCCCCGCTTTATCCTATATATAAATTCATTACGTCGAAGAATGATTATTCTATACCAGTTCATCTGCGTTTTGGTTTGAGCACGTTTTTGATTAACATAACCACGAATACTAAGTTCGTCTCACGCATTATAGCTTTTCACCGGATTGTTATAACCGTTCATTAATAAAACAAATAATAACTCACAAACAATGTGACCAAAAACATAATTAAGAAATATAATAATTAGGAAGATATCAATGTTTGCGAACTTTATGCCAAGATTATTGACATCCAAGGGAACAAAAAAGATTTAGCATTTTTTCCAAACTACTGAGAATATTACATTAGAATGTGATTTCAAATTAAAAACTGGCTACTAAAAACTATATTCGCTTCTTAGTAGAAGATCCAGACTATCCCTCGACATTAAAGTCCTGCTTTATAAAACTATACTTAAACCCATATGACCATATGGAATTGAACTATGGGGATAGTAAATTGCAGACATAGTTTGGGGATGTGCCAGCAATTCTAACTTGTCCTCATGCAGAGACTAAAACGATTAGAACTATTACCGTTTCCTCCTGGTATATTTCCAACTATATTTTTAACTTCCCGTAGGGCAAGTTATAGTAATCGCAAAAAAATCGAAAATGAAAATTTTTATATATCTTTACGTTTCAAAGGTTTCTGAACATTTTGGCATACCTTAAAAAAAATGGATGTATGTGTGTGTGTGTGTGTGTGTATGTGTGTGTATGTGTGTGTGTATGTATGTACGTGTGTGTATGTATGTGCGGATACAAATTTTCGTCGACGATTTCGGGAACACGGATCAACCGATTTGAATAATTCAAAAAACATTCAATTCGTATTGATAAGGAGACGTGCTGATTAGTTTTTGGCGAAGGCAGGTCCAGCCGTTCCGAAGATACGGGGCAAAAAGTGCCGAAAACGGTAACTTAGTTTTTAAGAGAACGGAGCGTCCGATTGGAATAATTCAAAAAACATTTCACTTGTATTGACAAGATGAAGAATCGATAAAATTTTCATGAAGGTAGGTCTAGCGGTTTCGGAGATATGGAAGAAAAAGTAAAAAAATGAGCCATTTGGCGGTCAAAAATGATCATTAGACATATGTACATCGTATTGTCAGATATTATATAAAGATTATAATATTAATTTCAATTTTTTGTGTACATTTATATGGGTTCCGTACCAATGTTTGCATGTTAGACGACTACGCGGCGCTTACACGTAAAAATTTTTTTTTGTCCCTATGCAGTTAAAGCAGTACGATTGCTTTGAAAAAAATTTCAGATCTTCCACAATATGTCAAAATAAAGAAAAATTTTTTTTCATAAAAAAAAAACAAAAAAAAAATTAAAAAAAAAATTTTTTTTTAAAAAATTTTTTTTCAAAAAAAAGTAATTTTTTGTCAAAATTATAGTTTCTCAAAAATCTATTTTTGTTCGAAGTACATATTTTTTTTTAAAAAATGTCAATCGTTTTTAAAAAAATAATAATTTTTGGTACGGGAAGTTCCAGCAATTTGCCTTAAGGCACGATGCCCTAATTGCCTTAAGACAGAATTCCACTTACAGCTAGTTCCACAATGATTTGAACCACCCATTTGTGAAAGATGTTATCAAGGACAAATACCATAAACATCTATTGAAAATTGAAGACCGTTCCAACAAATTATTAACTTTCCTACTAAATTATCCAATAGTGAAGCGACTCAAAAGAAATTGGCCAACAGATTCAATTTAAATTATTTCGAATTCATTTTAGTTTCGGGGCGTCCATTAATCACGTGACGTTTTTAGGGGTATGGGAGGTTTGACAAAAAATCACAAAATATCCCGTGGGGGAAGGAGGGGTATAGTAAGATATCATGTGTATTTATTTTTACTTAATTTTTTTGCAAAAAAAACAAAAATTTTAAATTTTTTTCTCGTAACTAAAAATACACGTAATGTTTGGTGGGGAGACGGGGTAATTTTGAATATCATCACGTTTCACCAAGAGGGAAGGGGGTCCAAAAATCCTTACAAAATTGATCAATGGAATGATGGTGATTAATGGAAGCCCCCTTTTCTATTTGTAAATCTCTCATTGGAGAGATTATTTAAGCAATGCAATATAAGTTAATGTGAATGTGCAAATATATGTATGTGTAAGCGTTTTTTAAATGTGTTATGTTTATTAATTTTTGCCGAATAGCTTATGAAAATTGTATTTTCGATAGATGTTAAACAAATATTTAGAAAAAAAGAATATGACTTCATTCAATTAAACTGTCTAATCGATTTAAAATACAAGGGCCAGTGGATGATAAGAATAAGCGAGTGCAAATTCTTAATAACAACAAACATAACAGTCATAAATCCCTTAATAACCAAAACGTATAAGACTATTATTATTACATTATTTCATAAATATTTCATTAATCAAGTTAAAAGCTACCAAATAAATCTCATACCGAACTCGTTAACTTAATAACTTAAGTGCTACACTTATAGTTGAATCTAACCCTGATTATACCTTGATTGTGAGAATCCTCAACGAACAGTATGCTATCCTGCCTCAAGACTTCACTAACCATTGTTTGAGCGGCACTTTCATGGACAACAAAAAATATGAATCACAAAAAAACTGACACCAACTACGAACGAGATATACAGGTAAAATAACATATGTAGAACACATAGATTTTGAAATGCGAATGACCTAAAGCCGATGAACGTACACTCACGACTGACGATGACGGCCGCCGTAGAAGCGGTCGCGCTCGATTGGGTACTCGGCGGCGGCAACGGCGGCGGCGGCGGCGGTTTCCCACTACATCACATGCGGACAGAGCACTTCTTCGTGCATTGTTTATTATTGACTTACACGCTTATCGGACTATTTATTGTTTATATTGAATCTCTTCCTTCGATTCTGTATTCAATTTCGATACGAATCGTCGCTACGGACGCCTATATCTGAAGGCAGTTAACCATAAACTATCTAGTTTATAACATACCAGATATCTTTCATCGAATCCCTTAATACGAAAAACAGCAAACATTTTTTTCAAATTTTGCAAACAATTTGTCGAGTAGCCACTGGTTTCGCGTTCGAAACCCACCGCTGAAATTAAACAGTAGTGGATTTTTCCTCGAAATTATAAATCTCAAATATAATAATAAAATAACTAAAATATCCATTCGGGATCATTTTGCTGGAGGGCATTTATCTCATCAATAAGTTGAGTTGCTTAAGGGGGGCGATACATGTAATCGCCTTAATTTTTACCATTTTTTTGAAGACTTTTTAAACTGGGAAGGAATGATTGAATCTTTTTGAACTTTTTTAGGGTTATTTATTATATATACAAAAAAAATTTTTTTTTAATTTTATTTTTTTAAATGGCTGCCGTAAAAATAAATCTGCCAAGACCCTCTCGGAAAACGCCATCAATTTGCGGGCGTTCTCACTTTTCGTACGGTGATCTGAATTTAAAAAAATTAGTTTGTACGTGTTCATAAAACATAAAACCAAAACATTAAACCAAAAAAAAATTTAAAAAGTCACAAAATCGTAAATTGGCACACCTTAGAAAAGCTCGATTTTTCACCTTTTTTTCAATGGTTTTTTTTGGTAAAAGGGTTAATTTTTGAAAATTTTTTTGGAATGTTTGAGGTTTAACTAGAAGCTATTACTGTAAAGTAGATGTGTGCAAAATTTCATTGGAATCGGTTGAGAACTTTTTGAGTTATCCCGCCCGCAAATTTCAAAAATGTCGTTTTGAGAAAAACGCGTTTAAAGTTTTGACACAGAAACAGATAAGAGTGCAATAGCACTCAAGCGTCGAGTTGAGGCGTGGCACTTAAATAAGTTTTTATTGTATAAATAATGATAATTTTGTTTTGAATATTTACAGGCATATTTTTGAGATGTTATTGTAACGATTTATGAAAAAAAAATCGATTTTTTTTTCTTGTTACATGTATCGCCCCCCTTAAGGCAACTTCCTGGGGCGTATTTTGATATTTTTAAAAGTTTTAAAAATTTTGGAAATTTTGAAAAAAAACAATTTTTTGAAAAAATATATTAATCTTATTTAACCGTTTTGATAATATTGTGAATCAATAAAAATTTAAAAAAAAACAAAGCGTTCGCGCTTTTCAGCATTTAGCTGTTTTAGGAGCCTATATAAATGTCAACAAAGATTGTACCTAAATCTCTATAAAATATATCTAATTGATGTGCATATGACTAATAATCATTTTTGACCGCTAAATGACATTTTTTTAACATTTTTTATTATATCTCAGAAACCGTTCGACTTGCCTTCCCCAAACATTTAATCAATTCGTTATTCCTGCAATACAAGTGAAATGATTGTTGAATCAATCAAAAATCAATCACACTCCGATCTCTTAAAAATTGACTTTCCAGCTTTAGTACTTTTTCCCCGTATCTTCGAAACGGATGGACCTGCCTTTGCCAAAAACTAATCAACACGTCTTCTCATCAATAGGAATCGAATATTTTTTGAATCATTCGAATCGGTTAATCCAAGCGCATGAAATCGTGGACAAAAAATTGTATCCAAACATACAAACACACACATGCCACACATACAATCATTTTCTCTAATTATAAAAGATATGCCAAAATGTTCAGAAACTTTTGAAACGTAATTATATATGCAGAAATTTTCATTTTCGATTTTTTTGCGATTACTATAACTTACCCTACGGGAAGTTAAACACTAATAAAAATTGAGAGAATGATCAATCAGCTTATAGAAAACAAAATAATAAAATTTTATATGGATAAAAACCCTGGTATAATTATTATATTTTATTATCTCCATGCAGGATAGCGACAATAAACCCTCATCCATCCCTTTCATTGTTACGCGTCCTGTCGCAAAATCAGTAATCCATTTTTCCTAGAATTTTTATCACCTGTCCCTAACTATATCATACTATAATTTTTATAATTCCAAGAAATTCGCACTACCTGTATCCAGTTTAAATTCTTCGTATCATGCAATTTATCAACCAATACCTGATCGGTTGATAAATGTAATAACCACTGATTGGTTCCAAAATTGTAAAGGGGTGTCCTTAACTCCACAAAATGGGCCAATCAGAAAAATATATAAAATTATAAAATCTACATAATTTAGTATCAACCTAAATATCACATAGCTAAGATCAGTCGTAAATTAACACTCAAATCCAAAACATCTAATTCAAACCTCAATAACATATCATCTATAAGTCTTAATATTTCAAATACACAATAATCAAACAGTTATTCAACATCTTTTATTTTTATTCAAACGGTCTGATATAGCCAACAACTAAATATATCTGGTCCTTCGGCAAAGTGCAAGTGTTCAATAGAGTTCGGCAGCATCCAGATAGATCACGAACTTCTTAAACACTTTGAACCTATCTCAACAAATACTTTTTTGGCCATTCAAACCGAATGGTCATTTTACTAAACAAAAATATTGAGCAAAATAAATGTTAGTTTTAAAAAAAGCTAGTCGTAATTATAGAAATCACTCCAGTACGTAACTTTTCATATACTAGTCTCATAACTATATTGAGAACTGGTTATAATATTTGTTCAGATCTTAAGAACAAGTAAACTATTGTATTTTTAACGATACTAGAACAAAGAAAAATTTAAATTTAGGCAACAAGTGCAGATACTACTTAAATATCTGTAATTTTTCGTAATAAAAAATAATAAAACTCAATTAAAACAATCGATGTGAAAAATATAAACAATAATGGAGAAAATGTCGATTTTCATTAAAAAAAATAACTAACTATTTTTCAAATTATAAGTCCTACTTTTTAACTCAATTGTTCTTAATATTATTATTAACATTTCTAATAAAACTATTTAAAATATTAACTAGAAATTATTCCATAAACAATGTCAACTTCATTCCAACAAAACGTTTATATTATTTAATTTACATTGCGATTAAATTTTCCATGATTAAAATCAAGTGCTGAATAAAATGAGTCTGTTTAAATATATATAATCGTATAATCTTTATAAGACAATTTACATGACTTACACTTCTCAAGTTTGCAACCTGATGTTAAATATAATGATTTCATATTAATCACTAAAATTATGATTCATCCGCAACATATTCTGTTTATAAACTAATAAACTTTGTTTGATTTGTCATAACCAAATAATTTATTATGGTAATTTAAGACCTATTTTCTGAATTATTTATTTTAACAAACTCCAATTTGTATCATTTTCGTGAAGCATGTAATTTCAAAACTCAAGCTAATGTAAGTACGTACTCGCTTTTTAAATAACTTCAAAATTTTAGTTTTGTGGAAATGATATCTACACGAATTTCAGAAAATAATCTCGAAAAAAAAATATTAGTACGCAAAATGCCTAAAATCACTTGAACATTAACTAATAATTATTTCTATTAGTAGGAAATGTTACACAATTTTTTATCTTGTCACAAAATTTACAGTCGATTGTCTTACATATTTTACATATTTATAACAAGTGTGTACATTTTTATATAAAGAGGTGGAGTTAAAAAGACATTTTTTTATAAAAAGGCGTAGGCAAATAAAACTTGGAAATTGCTGTTATGGCGAAATCTTTTTGTTATCATAGAGATAAATTTTAATCTATGGAAGCAATTCTACGTATTATACAAATATAACATAAACCTAAATATATTTACGATTTTCGCAAACTATTATCATTCAAAGTTGAATGTCGAGCAAAAATTAAATAGGTCAGTTTAAATTTAAAATTATATTTATTCTATATATATCATGTTACAACGAACTGAAACTTTTTCTTCGGAAAAGAATGTATATGAGAATAATGATCTTGAGAGTGGTAACTCTTGCAGATGATTGCACGTAATTGCCAGAAGACGTACATATATGTACATATTCAATATTTTGCATTTTTACATACCGCTGGAGGCAATTACTGTATCTTAGGTCATAGATACCGCGAACATATAAATATCTACTACTAACTAACGTAACTTTTCTGGCTTTTCATATTGGCGTTTTACAACCCTTTGATTGTTGGAATTTTGGAATATAATTTGTTTCGGGAGAATGGTTTGGCCGATTTATATGCCAATTCTCGCCGACAAGACTTTTGGCAGGTCTAGCCATTTCAGAGTTAAAAATGCCTGATGCAAATATGTACAGTAAAAGTACATTGATAATAATAAATTGTTTAAACAATTATTTGAAAGCACGATTATGAAATATTATCTTTAAACCAAAACTGCGTATCATATCCGCTTCCCATTGCTTGACATAGAGACACATCGCTAAATATTTTACACAATTTAACTTTAATTATTTTGCACAAGTGCTTTTAAACTGCAGTCAAATGAATAAATAATAAGTACAAAATCTTATCCATATTTTAATTATTACCGAAGAGTATCTAGAATTCAGAGCTTTCCTGTATGAAGTGCATGTGTACTGATTCAAATTCTTTTAAATTTCAAATGTTTCCTACGACATAATATTAAATAAAATGTATTATATGAAAAAATCTATAGTATTGCGAATGAGAAAATAAGTTCGAACAACCGCATTACTATATAATTAGGTTTTCAATAGCAAATAAATAATTATTTGCTAAGCAGCAAATATTCGGTTTCTATTCGGTATTCGGCATATTCGGCACCATTTTTGATATTCGGCCGAATACCGAATAGTAACTTACTGTTCGGCCGAATACCGAATAGTTAAAAACAAAGGAGCTCGGCGAAAATATTTGTGTATTTTATCTTTTATGCGATAAAGAGCTTGCGATGG